AGAGCCCCCCCCCCCCCCCCCCCCCCCGCTTAAAAAAAAAGAAAACCCAGAAAGTGGCTTCTTTCTCCCTTCATCTGATTTCAACATGCTAGATGCCTAGAGGCACTAGAAGGTGGGGTGGAATAGAAATGTAATTTGGATTTCAGTGGCCCGTCAAGAATTGATGACCGATGACAGCCTACATCTGCCTTCTGCCGCCTCTGGGGGCTCACATGCCATGACCAGGAAGAGGATCCAGCAAAGAGCCCATTTTTTGAAGTAGGAAGTCCAGATCAAGGCTTGGACAAAAGTACAGATATCTTTACCGCTGAGAAAAACAATGAGTAGTAGTCACTCTTCAGCCAAAAGATTGTCGGATGAAAGAACAGCCTCTAAAAGTGGCTTTCAAAAAGCAGGATTGGATTTAGAGGTCATCGTTTCTTCCACGGCTCTGCAAAGGAGCAATTTTTTCTTGACCGGGTCCCACAGAATAGCTTGGGCAACTGCATTTGTGGTCAAGTTAGAAGTCCCAGGTTTCTCTCAGATCTACAGCTGCCTGTGATCTTGGTCTGATCACACTACCAGTCTCAATGCAAACATTCAATCTGTGGCCAGAGGGGTTTAGATTTCAGCTGCATGGACTTTGTCAGGGCCTATTCAATGCATAGAAGCAGTCAATTCTTGTAGTAAAACTTATTTGTTCAAAGATCACATGATTCAGAGGGCTTCCCTGGTGGCGCAGTGGTTAAGAATCCTCCTGCCAATGCAGGGGACACGGGTTTGAGCCCTGGTCTGGGAAGATCCCACATGTCGCTAGAGCAACTAAGCCTGTGTGCCACAACTACTGAGCCTGAGCTCTAGAGCCCAAGAGCGACAACTACTGAGTCCGCGCGCCTAGAGCTGGTGCTCCGCAACAAGAGAAGCCGCTGCAACGGGAAGCCTGCGCACGGCAGCAAAGAGTAGCCCCTGCTCGCCGTAACTAGAGAAAGCCCGCGCGCAGCAACAAAGACCCAATGCAGACAAAAATAAATAAATAAAATAAAATTTTAAAAGTGTTTAATAATGAAAAAAAAGATCATATAATTCAGAATAACTCTCCTTGCCCCTCATCTGATTTCAACATGCTTGATACCTAGAAGGCAAATCAAAATCTGCTTCTTCCTTATGTTGTACGCTTGAAGCTAACATAATGTTATATGTCAATTGTACCTCAATTAAAAATTTTTAATTAACAAAATAATAAAGACATACTTGAAAACCTGTTTCTTCCTGTTCTTAATGTTTTCAATTAAAATAGAGCCCCCCCCCCCCCCCCCCCCCCCGCTTAAAAAAAAAGAAAACCCAGAAAGTGGCTTCTTTCTCCCTTCATCTGATTTCAACATGCTAGATGCCTAGAGGCACTAGAAGGTGGGGTGGAATAGAAATGTAATTTGGATTTCAGTGGCCCGTCAAGAATTGATGACCGATGACAGCCTACATCTGCCTTCTGCCGCCTCTGGGGGCTCACATGCCATGACCAGGAAGAGGATCCAGCAAAGAGCCCATTTTTTGAAGTAGGAAGTCCAGATCAAGGCTTGGACAAAAGTACAGATATCTTTACCGCTGAGAAAAACAATGAGTAGTAGTCACTCTTCAGCCAAAAGATTGTCGGATGAAAGAACAGCCTCTAAAAGTGGCTTTCAAAAAGCAGGATTGGATTTAGAGGTCATCGTTTCTTCCACGGCTCTGCAAAGGAGCAATTTTTTCTTGACCGGGTCCCACAGAATAGCTTGGGCAACTGCATTTGTGGTCAAGTTAGAAGTCCCAGGTTTCTCTCAGATCTACAGCTGCCTGTGATCTTGGTCTGATCACACTACCAGTCTCAATGCAAACATTCAATCTGTGGCCAGAGGGGTTTAGATTTCAGCTGCATGGACTTTGTCAGGGCCTATTCAATGCATAGAAGCAGTCAATTCTTGTAGTAAAACTTATTTGTTCAAAGATCACATGATTCAGAGGGCTTCCCTGGTGGCGCAGTGGTTAAGAATCCTCCTGCCAATGCAGGGGACACGGGTTTGAGCCCTGGTCTGGGAAGATCCCACATGTCGCTAGAGCAACTAAGCCTGTGTGCCACAACTACTGAGCCTGAGCTCTAGAGCCCAAGAGCGACAACTACTGAGTCCGCGCGCCTAGAGCTGGTGCTCCGCAACAAGAGAAGCCGCTGCAACGGGAAGCCTGCGCACGGCAGCAAAGAGTAGCCCCTGCTCGCCGTAACTAGAGAAAGCCCGCGCGCAGCAACAAAGACCCAATGCAGACAAAAATAAATAAATAAAATAAAATTTTAAAAGTGTTTAATAATGAAAAAAAAGATCATATAATTCAGAATAACTCTCCTTGCCCCTCATCTGATTTCAACATGCTTGATACCTAGAAGGCAAATCAAAATCTGCTTCTTCCTTATGTTGTACGCTTGAAGCTAACATAATGTTATATGTCAATTGTACCTCAATTAAAAATTTTTAATTAACAAAATAATAAAGACATACTTGAAAACCTGTTTCTTCCTGTTCTTAATGTTTTCAATTAAAATGAGTTTCATCAATTCGCCATTCACTACACTGAAACCTTAACTCACTCCAGTACTACGCTGAAAGAGTTAAAGATGTTTCCTTAGATGCTGTGCTTATGCTCAGCATCTTACACAAGTCCTCTGTGATTATCAGGCATTAAATCATACAAGAGAATCAAGTCTGCATTTTAAGCAGTGTGCTTTTGTTTTAACTCTTTGGTCCTTTGTTAAACGGAGTGAACGTAGAGACTTAGCAACCTAGAGGGCTATAAATCAAATAACAAAGCATGGCGTGAAATGTCACAGTAAACTCGCAAATCAAGTGAAAAACTCAAAGCGCAGCTTCTCTCTGCTGGGAAGAATTAACGAAGTCCAACTTACGATCTGCAGATGATTATCTCTAATGATCTATCTGCAAAGGTCAGATCTGCAAAGGTCAGCTCTCCTTTCCGCATCAACAGAGCAAGAAAGAAACCAAATCACAGCAGAGCAGCGCTGGCTGTCCCTGTTCCCCTTTCTGATGGGGCAGCTGTGGCCTCTCTTAATCTCAGTCCATCAGTGCTACCTCTGCTGATTTTCTAACACAGACCAGCCTCGTCCCCAGTATCCCACAGCAACCCAGAGAGAGAGACCCACAAGCAGCTCAGCCAACTTCTGGAAAGCATCGATCCTAAGAATCATAGCTGAAAAAAGAGCAAAAACAACAAAACTCATTAAGCTTTGACAGTAATCCTTAAAAGAGAATTCCGAGTACCTGGCCCCAGAATGGGGTGATCTGGGCTAGGTCATCTACCTCGGGGTGCGGTAGCTCATCTGGTCTCAGGGGTTTTAGGTCTGTAGAAGTGTTATTATCCACAGTCCCAGTTTTAGGATGGCTCCGCTCTCTCACTTTCTCCCTCTTGGAGCCGCTACGGCCAGTCTGCTGATGGCTTTGCACTATTCTCGCCACCACTTTATTAGCTCTTCCGCTCACCTCCATGTATTCATCTTGACACAGGCAAAAAGGGAGGAAAAGCAAAGCCAGCAGGTGCCAAAAGACGAGCTGCCTTCCGAGCATGATTCTCAACAGAGCCACAGAGCCTCCCGGAGAAGACGGCTAGGGCTCCAGCTGCCGTGGTCTCTTCGGGCAAGTGCCAGGGCTGCAGATGAGACTTGCAGCCGTCCAGGCGGTTTTATACTTCGGTATGTAATAAATAAGGCTGCAGGCCAGAGGGAGAGCAGTGCTCCTCCGCGGGTGGAACAGCCCCCATTCATTACTTTCCCACATCACAGGCAAAACGATTTGTGTGACAGCTCCCAGTTGGTGGAGCTCATAAATGTCACACCTTGGCATTTTTTTGTCAAAGTGTGAAGAAAACATGCACAACCAGCTGGAAACAGGCAGCATGTGTCCAGTGGTTTTCTTTTGCTATTAGACATGGAAAGGCTGTGTCTTTGCAGTCTAAGATGCCTTTTGGAAAAGCCTCCTCCCGGGCTTGCCAGGAAATTCGGGCTTAACTGCATCAATTCCGTCAGAAATGGCAGTGCGAACGTGTTCAGGGCCATCAAGAGAGCTCTGCACTCTCATTGCACAGTTAATATTTCCCCACTGTAGCCGCCACTTAAAGGCACGCATTTCTGCCTCTGGCACTGGCAACAGAAGACAGTTGGGTGACTCCAGAACACTGAGCTGGATTCAGGGGCAGAGTCTCTGGGTTTAGCAAAAGCATTTCCCCATGCTAGGCTTCATTTCCTTTTCCCTGGAGTTCCCAAAAGCCAAAGTTAGATCAAAGTGGACCAAGTCGCTTTATTGCCAGATGAAGATACGACATCCTGCTTCATATTAAAAGAAGGTTGTCTGTCTCTGGCTCCTCTTCCTTCTGACATATTCTTGATTAAATTGAAGAAATCGAGGGACTTCCTTGGTGGCGCAGTGGTTAAGAATCCGCCTGCCAATACACGGACACAGGTTCGAGCCCTGACCCAGGAAGATCCCACATGCTGCGGAGCAACTAAGCCCGTGCGCCACGACTACTGAAGCCTGTGCTCTAAAGTCCATGAGCCACAACTACTGAAGCCCACGTGCCACAACTACTGAAGCCCCTGCGCCTAGAGCCCGTGCTCCACAACAAGAGAAGCCACTGAAGTGAGAAGACGGTGCACTGCAACAGAGTAGCCCCCGCTCCCCGCAGCTAGAGAAGGCCTGTTGCACAGCAACGAAGACCCAACACAGCCAAAAATAAATAAATAAATTTATATATAAAAAAAGATGAATCAGGTTTTTTAAAAAAATAAATGAAAAATAAATAAAATTGAAGAATTGGAAAGCATCAAACCAAACAACCTCCCTCAAGTAGATCAGGATGGAGAGAACTATCATTTCCTTTAGGATACTTGCTACATTTTTAAGAATTCAGCCAAAGAGAAAATGGGCATTCCTAACCTCTTAGGAACAATAAAGAGAACTTACATAGCTTTGCCATTAATAATTGCTTCTATTTCCATATCATTTTATTTAATATTACTCATTCACTCACATAACAAAAAGTCACTGCCCTCCTCCATGAGGACTGAAGACACCCTGGGGCTTAAAAGGCAGTGAGTGGCCAGTATGTGATGCTCAGAGGACAAGGGTGGCAGTGTAAGAAGCCGAAGCTGGGGAAGCCAGGCCTGATGCTGAGGCGACAGAGCAGCTGGAGAGAGGAAAGTGGTGAGAGGGCTGCTTACAGCTGCTCTCCTCACTCAGCAAAGGGGCCTGGGAACCAAAAGCCAAAACTCTCAACGCAAGATTCATCACTCCTGCCACTGCCAGAACAGCTGCTTCTAGACCTCACATTTATACATAAAAGGATTTGGTGTGGAGGATGGAGTGAGAGAGTGATTCAGTAAAATAAAAGCTCTTCAGTTCACAAATGCAGGGGCCTTGGGAGTCATGCTTCTTCTAAGCAGGCAGCTCCCACCTAGCGGGGTGTAAGGAACTCTGCCATTCCCATTTCATAAGCCTACCCTTAGGTCTCCAGGATTTCCCCACTGGAGGATTTTTTGAGTTCTGTGATGAGCACTCTTGGGCAGATATCCCTGAGGAAGGTAGTGCGTCAAGCAGTTATCTGACGTCAATTCTTACTGAGGATTTTTGAGCAGACCCGGGGCAGGAGACTGGGGAAGGACAGCTCTTAGGTATCCTTGGACAAGCAAGTGGATGGGATATTGCTGTGGCTCCATCATCAGGGAAGCCTGGAAAATATTTCACAGGGAGACCACAAAGCAAGAAATGTCTCTGAAATCTAGGTCACCTCATTCACGAGTTTTCTAAGAGCTGTTTCTGGCTGCTTCCACCACCTGGACCATATGGATAAGTAACTCCAAGTCAACCTCTTCTGACTTTCAACTGTATTGAGAATTTCCATTGGTGTTTTCCACCCTTTCATTTATTCTAGTGGTTCTCAATCCTGTCTGCATAATAAAATAAACCAGGGAGCTTCTAAATATATCAGTGCCCGGATCCCATCCGAGACCAATTGATTCAGAATCGCTAGTGGGGCCTGGGCACTAAGAGTTTTTGAAAAGTCCCTGAGATGATTCTAATGTGCAGTCAGGGTTAGGAATCACTGACCCATCCTTTCCTTGACTCAGTAGGAGTAAATAACAATAATATCTCTCATTTGTTGAGCACTTACCATACATCAGCCAAGTACTCTGCTTTAGCTCACTGACTTCTCTCAGTAAACCTACTGTTCTCGTCTTATAGATGAGCAAACAGAGGCTCAGAGAAGTAAAGTAACTTGCCTGGTATTGCACCGTTGGAAAGGGGTTATTAGGATATGACTCCATCTGTCTTCCTCCCTTCTACAGCAAAGCAGAGGACCAGTGTCAGGCTGACTGCAGAGAGAAGGCCAGCTGCACAGCGGCCAGGACAAGAATCTGGAGTCCGAGTGTTATATGATGAATTGTAGCACCCAAAAAGGCATTGAGGTTCTAACCCCCAGTACCTATGAGTATGATTTAATTTGGAAATAGTCTTTTCAGACAATCAAGTTAAGATGAGGTCATTAGGGTAGACCCTACCCAGATATGACTCTGTCCTCATAAAGGGGAAAAAACTAGACATAGAAACAGACACGGACACAGGGAGAACACCATGTAAAGATGAAAGCAGAGATGGGGTGATGCACTTAAAAATCAAGGAACGCCAAAATTGCCAGCCAACCACCAGAAGCTAGAAGAAGGGCATGGAAGAGATTCTCCCACACAGCCCTCAGAAGGAACCAACCCAGCTGACACCTCCATCTCAGACTTCTAGCCTCAAGAACTATGAGACAATAAATTCCTTTGTTTAAGCCACCCAATTTGTGGTAGTTTGTTGCAGCAGCCCCAGCAAACTAATACAGAAAGCATGTAAGGAAGCCTTAAAAAACTCCAGAGCTCATCATCTTCCAGACAGGGAGATGGCAGTCTAAAAAGATTTAGCCAATTGCTCAAGTTCATGGACAGAGAATAGCAAACCTGGCCCAGAGAAGAGTCCCCAGCCCCTTAGTTTGTGTTCTCTGGCACCTTCCCATGAAATGCATTTTAAACCTTGGCTTATTATTAAATCTTACTTGGGGCTATCATTTCATAATGCTCTGGCAATGTCCCTTGCTCAAATATGTGAATAAGCTCTGTGGAGACCTAAATGGGAAGGAAACCCAAAAAAGACGGGATATATGTATACCTATAGCTGATTCACTTTGCTGTACAGCAGAAATTAACACAACATTGTAAAGCAACTATACGCCAATAAAAATTAATTGAAAAAGAAGATTCTCTCTTGAACTTTTGAAAAAAAAAGATATGAATCAGAGTTGGGCATAATTTCTTTTCTTTTTTTGCTAGGGGGGAAGGTGGGCATAATTACTTAATTGTGGGGTGAGGGTTGAGAACATCTACACCCAGCAAACTCATGGAAGGTGCCAGAGCCCCAGTTCTGCACAGCTGTCTCTGGCTCTGAGAGCCCACAGCAAATGACTGGGGACATCTGGCTGCTATGATGTACCGGGACTGCCACTGAATCCTGCTTGCTTGATTGGCTCCTAGGCTACAGCCAGGACATTGGCACAGATACCACCATGAACCACAGAGGTGCAGACACTGCAAATACGTGTGAAAAGTCAGCTCCATAGATCTGCTCTGCAAGCCAGAGGCAAATATTTGTTTAGCTTCACAGAGGAGGCTGTTATGTGATGTGTAGGTGCCCTGTGGCCTCCCCCAGGGCGCTCCACTGTGCCCTTGGTCAAAAGGAGATCAGCTCTGGTGTGGCAAGGGACAGTCAAGAACTGTGTGCTACAGAACGTGTCTTTATATCAGTGCCAACTGAAAGGGTAGCTGAGGAAGGCATGTGTTTGCGTCATTTCCAGAAAGGAGCAGCTGGAGTGTGACCCACCTCTCTCCTACCCCTTCCCACGGAAAAATTCTCCCGACACTCAGCTCAGCGAATTCTGAGATTCTAAACTCAAGGCTTGATCCCTTTGATTGAAACTTAAAATGCAAATAAAATTAAAATACTTCCTGAGATGAGATAGTTTAGCTATACTGGTCATTTATATCTTGATGTTGAAGACCTTTTCAGATTATTTTCAGAGAAGTTTTGTTTGAGAAGAATTTACAAAAAGGAATATAGTGCATTCAGAAAGGGCCCATTGTCTCTCAATATTAGCTGGTGCTGGGACTTCCCTGGTGGTCCAGTAGTTGAGAATCCACCTTCCAATGCAGGGGACGCAGGTTTGATCCCTGGTCAGGGAACTAGGATCCCACATGCCACAGGGCAACTAAGCCTGTGTGCTCTAGAGTCCACACACCACAACTAGAGAGCCCTCGAGCTGCAACTACTGAGCCCACGCTCTCTGGAACCTGCTCACCACAGCTAGAGAGAGGCCCACAGGCCACAAAGAGGAGCCTGCGCACTGCAACAAAAGATCCTGCATGCTGCAACTAAGACCAGGTGCAGCCAAAATATATATATAGATAGATACATACATACATAGATACATACATAGATAGATAGATATTCGCTGGTGCCATTTTAAGAAAAATAGGTTTGTGCTTGGCACCAACGTGAGGCAAAGTCAGGGGAGGAATTGGTCGGCTAATCAGGGTGTCATCACCTTGGTGAAATTACACATTTTAGGGTCTGACCCTCATTAGGCAAGTGCAGGAGACCCATTGCCAGTGTCCCAGGAATGGATG